TTGTTGTAAGAAGGTGGGGCAGTCACGGCTTGTGAGTCAGACGCTGGGCTGGCCGCTGGCCTCGGAGGTGTGTTTGGTAATGATGCCTCCATGCATACAGCATGAGCTGCCCAGTCAGAGAAGGCACAGAGCCTGCGGGGTAAACACTTCCCAGCATCATTTCCTGCCTAGTAGCCATTCAGGAAAGGCAGCATTTTCCTCAGTCTGTTCATCAGGGTCCTGGATTTGGGTAAAATAAATAGATAAATAAATAACTGCTGCTATTCGTGATCCAAAGTCCCTCGCAAAGAAGGTGGTCCTGTTCACTAGGAAGGCCTTTGTTTTATAAGCACCTTGATGGGTGTGGGGAAGTCTACAAAGAGCTGAATTGTTCTGCCCCACAAAGGAGCTTTTGGACTTGCTGAGGGACCCAGTGGGGAGGATGGTGTGGACAGATGGGGAATGCCACAGTGAAGGACAGGCAGTGGAAAGGCCAGTGACTGGTGGGGGGTGAAATGTGAAGGTCAAGTGGCACCTACCTTTGGGAGGGAAGCCAAGGGCATTTCAAGGATAGAAATACCTAGTGCTGGGTTTGAAGAAGTGGGGGTTGGTGATTTTCTGAAATCACCAACAAATTTCATTGCCCCAAACAAAACCTTGATGGAAGGAATTTCCATTTGCTTTTGCTTTGTTGTGTTTCATTTACTGGAAATCAAGGGGGCTGGGCTACACACTTGCAGAGATACCTGGCAAGGAAGGTGTGTCCACAGGCAGACGTGACCATAAAAATATCTTTACCTGCTGCAATTTGCAGATGTTTTAGGAGCAACTGGGCTTTGACTGGGACTCTGATTGAGTTCTAGTTCAGTGGTTCCTTGGGGAAGCAATGGGAGGAGTATTTAAACATTCAATGTCCACATCCCATCCCAGAACATAATCAACTTTTCCGAATGGGATCATGGGATTGCCATGTGCAGCCAGGCTCCCCAGTGACGCCATGTACAGCCAAACATGAGACTAGAGTTCAGATGAGCCTGACCTGGTCTCGAGGGAGCCAGAGCCCCAGCTGATGTCACAGTGGCCTGAGCACATCTGACTTGGCCCCATAAGCCTCAGGTGACAGGATTTAGAAGTGACCCACTTGGCATCTCAGGGCCAAGGGTGAGAGCAGGTATGGGTAATTAAAGGAATGACTGTTCCCTATTTTAGTCACCATTTTGTTCATGGCTTCTCAGTTTTGTGTGTTCGAGCAATGAACTCAGACAGCACAGCAGAGTATAAGGAGTAGGAAGATGCTCCCTACTCTCCCTGCCGTGTCCCCTGCTCTGGCTTTGCAGGGTGCTGGCCTTGGGGCTACTGGAGTGGATCGTCTTCCTGGGCCTCATCTCTGCAGCTTCACCCTGGAGTTATGGGACAGGGCTGGTGATTTGCTCTCTCTGCATCTTTCAGGGAGGCTTGTGGCCTAGTCTGAGGTCACTCCCGCCAGCAGTCATAAGCCAGCTCCCCTCTGTCTCACAGCATCAAGGGTGGCAACATCCCAAGCCTCTAAGTCCTTAAAAAACCACCAAGGCAGAGGAAAAAAAAACAGGCAAAATCAATAGTTTTCTATTGAACTATTAACTAGTCTATCAGCAAAGACTAGAGGTACAATACTTGGAAATATTCCTGACCAAAATATAAAATATCCAGGATTAAATTTCACAGAAAATACAAAAGATGCATAAAATTTACTCTCCGAAGACCATCAGGAAAGCAGGAATATATTGCAAGATGCATGGTATTCTAAAATGAAAGACTCAAATGTTCAACGTTGTCAATTTTTTTTCCAAAAAAATATATTTCTACTTATTGAACCTGAGAAAACAGTTTCATTTGGAGGAACAAATACATTCAGAAAACAAAATTTTGGGGGAATAAAGAATAAACAGAATGGAGAATGGTTCTTACCTAAAAGACATAAAAATATTGTATTTAAAATGGAGTAATTAAAAAAAATGGAAAAGCACAAGGCAGATTTAGGACTGAGATCATGAAACTGACCTATGGTTATGGAAACTTGCTGTGGGCTGTCAATTGGAGCGGCTCTGGGAGGTCTCTTGTGGAGGCTAAGGCCACTCCATCTTGGATGCCAATGCTGAGCCTCAGTTCCATCAATGCTTCTAAGATTTCTATTTCATCTGCTGTTTGCTGCAAATCCAGCCCTTAGGTAAATTCCTTCTGAAGCTCCTATACCCTTTCCCCTATGGCACAGAAGCCCAGGGTCTGGGTAACGGGATGGGGACCCACTGTCTTGCGGCCACGCAGGACATGGCTTCTGCTTGCTAGTCCCGGTTACAACTTTCTTTCTAAGAAACTAGACTTGTCAGCCTTTCTTTGGCCTCTCAGCTCCCTTGGACTTTGAGGGCAGGCGTGTGCAGGCTTGCCATCGAGGAACACCCTGCCAGCCTGACCGTCCTGGGGATAGGGATCCTTCTGCAGAGGCTGGCTTCCTTCAGGGCAAGAATGCTAGGGAGCTCGGAAGCTACTGGGCCCTTCCTGATCCCGCCCTGATGCTCACCAGCATCACAATGCAAGAGGTGTCAAAGCACCATGTTATAAAGCCACCAGTGTAGAACCAGATCAATGAAAAAGCCTCTCCAACTTACTGTTTATTCAGAGCCAGGCCCTGTAATGAATCTATTCATATGGATAACTGTAGGTGAAGTATATACTTAAACCAACTTTTAAAATAAATGTAAAAGTAACTCTTGGCCGGGCGCGGTGGCTCACACCTGTAATGCCAGCACTTTGGGAGGCCGAGACGGGCAGATAACGAGGTCAGGAGATCGAGATCATCCTGGCTAACACGGTGAAACCCCGTCTCTACTAAAAAATGCAAAAAACTAGCCGGGCGCCGTGGCGGGCGCCTGTAGTCCTAGCTACTAGGGAGGCTGAGGCAGGAGAATGGTGTAAACCCGGGAGGCGGAGCTTGCAGTGAGCTGAGATCCGGCCACTGCACTCCAGCCTGGGCAACAGAGCGAGACTCCGTCTCAAAAAAAGAAAAAAAAAAAAAAAAAGTAACTCTTGCAGATGAAAGGTGCAAGGGCGAAGCCTCCTCTCCAGGATGTGCTGGTCACAGTAACCTCTGGGTCCGAGGGGCTTCTGGCTCACTGGCCTCATGGGGCTCCAAGGGAGGCATTTACAGGCCTGATGGCTGTGGAGGAGACGCAGGGGTGGCACCAACCTGCTTCCCTGTTGGCTGTGGGCCATGGGGCCAACGGCTGGAGGGCAGGGAAGGGAGGAGACATACAGGGAGATTGGGGAGTCCTGTGTACAGCCCCCACCCCACCTCAACTCCCCCAGGGAAGAAGTGTGTCAGAAAAGGGACTGGGCTACACAGTCAGCTGTTCATTTCCACTGTGTGCCTGGATGGTCGTTTTATGTGTCATAGGAGATCCTTTACCCACGTAGAAAGCCAGGAGCACCTCCCTGCAGGGACTCTTTACCCCTGACCCCAACCACCACTTCTATCCCCCAATCCCCAACAGAAAACTGAGTCACTAAGTCCGCCCACCCCCAGCAGAGTGAGGCCAGACTCGTCTCCTCAGCTTATGGCCTCCTAGGCGTTGTTACACTTTCCTCACCCCAAATACCCTGTTAAAGCAAGTCAGGGTGGAGAGGAAATGGAAGCAGATGCTCCCCACTCTCCCCGCCGTGTCCCCTGCTCTGGCTTTGCAGGGACAGCATGTCTTTGGGGCTACTGGGGTGGATTTTCGTCATTTCACCTTCAGTGTTCATGGCAGTGGCCAAAAGAGGGTGTCAGTGCAGCTTGGAGCTTGGAAGGTACCTGGGAGCCCTGCCCTAGCAGCACTGGCTGTGAGGGCTGCACCCCTGTCCTGAAATGGCAAAGGGAAGGACCATGCAGGGTGGGCTGCGTCCTAGGACTGTAGCCTCCTGCTTGTGGCAAAGATCCACTATTCTATAGGATGATGCTGACATGAAGGGAATGTTCTCTCTTAATCTTTGGAAAAAGAAGAGTCCACTGCATTGTCAGTCTCATTTGTGCTTTAACTTCATCCCTACCATGAAGCTGGACACAACTTGTTTTAAATCCAAGTCCAGAGAAAGGGCTGGTGGCCATGAGCCTGTAAAACTCTCTGAGGACACAGCCTCCCAGTATGGATGACAGCAGGTGCTGCTTTCTCTGGGTGATCTTGCCGGTCTCTGGTCTGGTTGACATTTCTCCCGCTCAGTTACACACACAGGCTTTTTGGACTTTGTTTCCATGTAGGGGCCTAAGTCTCTTGGAAAGGAACACACATCGATCACTATCTATTTAGTGTCTAGGGGAATGATGAGAGCAGCTCAGTCCCTGGAGTCTGCTCAACTCTGCAAGCACAGATGGAACCTACGGCCTGGCGAGCTCCACCGAGGCCTGGCCTCTGCCTGTGGACACAGCCAGCCCCCTCCTCCTGGTCTGACCAGGAGCTCAGACCAAAGCGCCAGCCCAGCTTCTGGGGTCAGCAGCCTGGGCACCCTGCTCTCCCTGAACCCCTCACCAGGGGCCGCTGTGGCTGAATGCCTGGATTCCCAGCCCCCGGCTGCTCTCTCCTTGCTCTGAGATTCAGGTCTCCTATAGCAGCAGCTCCCCTGACAGCCTTGCTGTGGCTGTGTCAGCTCCCAGGTACTCCTCTGATCTCCACACCAGCAGGATGAGGAGGCTTCATAAAGGAACTGTGGAAACCCTGCCTGTGTGCGCATCCCCAGACAGCCAAGAACTCAAAGGGAGCCGATGCTACTGTTTTATTGCAGGAGGTGGGGGCGTGTCACCGCACACCGGGGCTGTGAGAAGCAAGAAGGAAGGAGGGAGGGTGGAGCCCCCTGCTGAGTAACAAAGGCCGCCTGCTGCGTTTTCTGTCTCCTGGCGCAGGCACATGGGGAGACCTTCCCGAGGACGGGGGCCACCAGTCCAGGGGTGGGAATACAGGGGGTGGGAGGTGTGCATAAGAGGTGATAGGCACAGGCCAGCCTGGTACAGACTCCTAGGCATCCTGACAGGTGGATTTCGACAAGGTCATTGTGCCCTGCCAAGGCACAGTGTAGATCTGGAAAGAGCAGAATGCTTTCTGTGAAAGAAAACAGAGGGGACAATCAGTGTGGGTTACAGTTCAAAGCGGAAGATGCCCAGGCACAGGACATCAGAGTGGGAGTGAAGGATGGAGGTGAAACACTGGCCCTTACCTACCCCTCCACCCACCCCTGCTGATCCCAGAGCACTGCTGGACTCGGCAGTGACTGCTCCACCCCTCTCCCAGGGCTCCAGCTCCACCAGGTGGCCCTGAGCCACCACCTCAGCCTGCAGGATTCCTGCCCCAGCACAGCCCTATGAGGAGCAGCCTGTGCAAGGCCTCGGGAACCCTAAGGGTGCAGAGCAGGGGAAGGCAGCTCACTGTCCCCAGCTCCTACCACCTCCAGCACCCAAGTCAGCACTAAGAGGGGCCAGAGGGAAGAAACCAGGGAACTGGAAATTGCAACTCATAGTGCTTGGAGTGGTAAGGAGATGGACAAGGAGCGTGTGACTCTCCCCTGAGGAGAGACGCCACAAGAAATCCTGGGTCCTTGGAGAAGCTGGTGTTGGGTAAGCTGGGGCAGGTCTGAGGGTTTGGCTGCTAACAGGCCTCTAGTACCCTCTAATCTGCTCAGCGTGGCTGTGGCTGCGGGCACGTGCCTGAGGCTGGGGTTAGACAGAGCCGCTTCTCCGTGTGCAGCACCCAGCCCTGCAGCTGCTTCCTACAGTCCAGCAGGCAACACTCCAAAGCACACAGGGTGGGGCTTCCAGTACCCCCATTCCCAAGCTAAAGCCCTCTTAGCAAATCAGATTCATCAGCCCTCTCCACACCGCCTCATCTACACACACATAGGCCTCCACATGAACTCACCCCAACCCTCACCCACACGGATCTATGCATGAATCCACATACTCCCTCACACCTCTACCCACATGCACACACACAGTGCAGGCACTTCCTCATACAGCATGTATGCGCACAGAACCCCCACACATATGTGCACACGCATGCGCACTCACACACCCACACACATCCGTGCATAGACCCCCACACCTCCCCAAAACATCACACACCCACTAGCACACACTCATATAACCTCCCCACACAAACCTATACATGGAAACACATGTGCATCTCCATATGTACACACACTCAGGCACACGCACACATACCCTCCAGAACATGTACATCACACACACACACACACACACACACCCCTCTGCAGTGTATGACTGGCCCTGGACCCACATGAGGCACATACCCTCTTCAGATGTGGCTGTTCATGGAAGGGGCAGTTGTCCAAGTTGGGCTGGGTCTTGGTACATGTGGTTCGGCCCAACTCCACGTCCAAGAAGTAGTTCACCCCAGCTACGATCTACACATGTGAAAGAGCAGGAGGCAGGGACAGCACGCTCTGTCAGTTTCTTACACACACAGGCACTTCACTGTGACTGGGTCACTGGGCTTGCCTGCGGCTTCAAGCCTACCTTCACGAGCTACCCACACTGTCACTTGCAAGGCACACAAGCCACCTCCTCCTGCCAGCTGGCAGGGATGCCATGCCCCAGACCTCCCTGGTAACTTGTTTTCTCTATGCCAATGCCAAGGATTAACTGAATTCTGCTACCTATGACCCAGGGGGCAGGGACACTGGATCTATTCTAGGAAGGCTCTCATGTGATGATGAAATTTCGGCAAACTTCCAGTTCCTGGCATTCAGTCCACAGAGCATCTCATTCCTCTCATTTAACCTAGAGGTATTTTTCCTCATTTATCAATAGGAGATGAGATGCTCACATACATTGATGTTTTAGGCCAATAAACTGCTTCCCACATGCCTCCATTCCAGGTGTGATTTTGGAGGCAGTATTTCCAAAGTGAGTCTTACGGTTGCAACTTCAGAAGAGAACTGAATGCTTTCCCTGCACAGTGCCACCCCCAGACATGACTTGTGAGAACTGTGGAGAAGCATGGGATGAGGGACCCTGAGACCAGGGTGCTAGACCTTGCCCTGTGGAGCCACACACAAGTCCTGTAGAACCACATGCAAGTCCTGTGATCCCTCCGGTGTCAGTCTGCTGCTCTGTAAAATAGGTTCCAGGGTCCTACAATGCCCCGTGCTTCACTCCCAGTGAGAGAGGGGTGCAGGCCAGCGGGGACCCTACACCAGGGAACAGGGAGAGGACCCCAGCTGACGGCTGCAGGAGGAGAAACGGGGCTGGTCTAGACTCCTCTGAATTTCCAACAGAAGGTGGAGGAGCTCTAAAGTCTGTGTCACTGTTTGTTGCTCTGCCATGGGATGCAGGTCAAGCTGGACCTGGTAGCCCTACTGAAGCTCCCCCCCGATCTGACCCCCTACTCCGCTCTGCTGGGTGACTGCTGTCCTCATCTGGCTGAGGTCTAACTCTGCATCAGCTGGTAGAAGCAGGGTCAGGCATGCTCCACCCCAGCAGGAATTCAGCTGCCCTGGGCTGTAGGGGGTGGTCATTCGGCCTGAGGGTGAAGGCCCCTAGTCCTAGAGGGCTGTGCCCAGGGGTGTGACTTGGGAAGGGAAGCAGGGCTCTGCAGGACAAGGAGCCAGGCTCAGGTGTGGCCCCTATGGAGAGGACTCCGGGAGGAAGACGAGCCTCATGGTCTGGATCTCATCCTGACCAGCACCAAGCCCACCCAGAGTCAGCACAGTCTCCACCCACACCTGCTGGATCCTGGGAAATGGCACGGTCATGGTACAGACCCAGCCAGCGGCTGCTGCAGGTGAAAAGAGGCAGAGGGGACAGGACAGGGCTGAACTCATGTACTCCTGGCCCATGAAGCCCGTCAGCAGTCAGGGAAAGCTGAATGAGTCTGAGCATTAGACCATGAATGTGTCAGTGCTGATTTTCAAAATGGAATCGTGGTTATGTGAGATACTGCCCTTGTTTTAAGGAAAAACACACTGAAGTGTTTACTCTCAAAAGATTCAGGCAAAAAAATGCATATACAGTACATATACACACACCCATATTCACATTCGGAAAGTGAGCTGGGGGGAACAAACGGCAAAATGTTAACATCCGTGCTAACATCTGAAGGATCTGGGTGAAAGATCTACAGGGATGCCCTGTACTATATCTGCAGCTGCTCTGTAAGTCAGAAATTATGTGAGAATAAAAAGTTAAACTAAAGTGTTTAAAAATTATTTGGCGGAAGAACAAGGAGGCAGCCAGATGAGGGGCTCTGTTTTTTCCTTCTCCTGCGTATTCAGCAGCGCACCCGGAGCCCCGCGTCCCAGGAGGCCTGGACAGAGTTGGGTGGGACGTCCTGTGCCTGCCCCCGCGCTGCGGCGCCGCTCGAGCTGGCGCCTGGAAGCAGATCTCAGGCGCCGGGCGCGGACCTGGCTTGTCCTTGCGGTTCCAAGCCAGACCAGACTCGGGGCATTCCCAGACACGCCCGCCAAGGGCTCCAGGGTGACAGCGAAGACCGGGAACAGGGTCTGGGTGAGAAGCCCAGGTGCCGGGGAGAAGGAGCAGCCCCGGGGGTCCGGGAGCGGAGCGGGGCAGGCTGGGGCGGCGGGGCCAGGGTTCGGGACCCTGCGGGGGGCGGCACGCACCTGCTTGCGGGCGCGCACCACCTGCAGCGCGCGGCTGTGGTACATGTCGTTGCTGGCTTTGTTGTACTCGCTGACGGCAAAGTCCAGGGCACGCCGCACACCCTCCTCCTCCACGCTGGCGTCCATGGGGCCGCCCACTAGGCGCGGCGGCTTCCCGGGACTCGCTCCGGCCGCGGGGCTCACTGCCAGAGCCACGGCCAGGATGGCCAGCAGGAGCAGCGGGGCGCGCAGAGGCCCTGCCATTGTCGGCTAGGACGCGGGACACGGAGAGTGGGGCGCAGGCGAGAGGCTTGAGCTACTGACAGAGGACCCGGTGCGATCCCGAGGCCGTGAACACTGCGGGGCCAGCGGCTGCGCTTTTATCCCTTCTGGCCTTCCCCGCCCCTCGCGCCCTGCGCTTCCTTTTCCGGAACGCCTAGTCAGTCCCTCCCGCTTCCCCTCTCCCTTCCCACCTCCCCTACCTCTCCCCGCCTCCCGGTCCCTCCCTACCAATCTCCTCCCCTCCCTGCCTCCCCTGCCATCCTGGCCTCCCTGGCCCTCCCCATCGATCCCCTTCCCTCCCCATCCATCCCCTCTCCTCCCCTCCCAGCCCCTCCCGGCCTCCCCCCTCCCTTCCCGCCTCCCCCTCCCTTCCCGCCTCCCCTCTCCCTCCGCTCCTCCCCTGCCCCCTAGCCTCCCTGTCCCTCCCTATCCATCCCCTCCCCTCCCCTCTCCCTCTTCGCCTGCTCTCTTCCTCCCAGCCTCCCCTGCCCCTCCTATCCTCCCCATTCTTCCCCATCCATCCCAGACCATTCCAGCCTCCCCACTTCAGGCCCCTCCATGCTTCCCCTCTTCAGGCTCCTTCTCCTCTATCCGTTTCCCCTTTCAACCCCCAGACACCGCCTCCCCTGCCCCTCCTCTCCCTCCTCCACTCTTGTCCTTGCTCCCACTTCACCCCCAAGCTCTGCCCTTCTTCATTGCCCCTCCCTTGTTCCACCCCTCCTCTGTCTTCCCTTCCTACCCACCCCTGGCCTCTCCCTGTCTCTGTCCCTTCTATCCTCTTCTTTCCCCTTTTCTAACTCCACTCCTGGTCCCTCTTCCCCCACCCCTTCTACACCCATGCCCCCCTCCTACCCACTCCATCCCCTCAGCTCCATCTCATCTCATAGACCTGTCCCTCCTCCCAAGCTTAGGTCACCCTGCCTTCCAGAGAGGTGTCAAGTCCCCCTGAGCCCTAAAAGCATGCGACCCCCTAGCTTCATTTCCTCAGAAAAGGGAAGGATAGAGGTCTTGGCCTTCCGGAGTTGTCGGAGGTCCCGAGTATCCGCGAGCATTTGGTCAAGGTCTAGAAATCACTGAGGCAGAGATGTGATTCCAGAGGCTGCAGAAGACTCAGGCCATGCCCTGTGCTAGGGGACTTTTCAAACAGAAGAATTAACCTTTATTTGAGTAAAAAACTCTGGGTTCTCCTTTCACAATTCCTTATTATTCAACAAACAGACTTGTCACCAGCTTCCCCCTGCACCAGGTGGTGTAGGAACTAGAGACGGAGCCTGGGTGACCGAGCCGTGGACACAACATTGCAGGGCTGCTGCCAGACAGAGATGTGACGCAAACCTGGGAGCAATTTAAAACTTTCTAGGAGACACATTTCAAAAAGTAAAAAAGAAACAGGTGAAGGTAATGTTTATAATATTTCTTACTTAACCCAATATATCCAAAATATTATTTCAACACATAAGAAGAATCATTAATAACATAGGTTATTTTATTTTGGGTGTGTATACTGAGTCTTTGAAATTCCCTGTGTATTTTTTACACCTAGAGTGGGTGTCAATTATACTGGCCCTATTTCAAGCGCCCTGTGGCCACATGTGGCTGTGGCACTGCACAGCCCAGCATTAGGGTGTGTGGGAGGATGGCGAATAGTGATCAATAATTAACATCAGGAAATTAGTCTCTCTGTTGGAAGTGAAAGAGTATGGGATAGAAAGAGGTGATGCCACTGGACCTGGTCAGGGAGGTCTCTATGAGACTGGAACGGTGACAAGCCCTGCCTACATGGGAAACAGAGCCCCGGGCAGCAGGAAGGGCCAGTGCAAAGGCCCTGAGGTGGGACTGGGCATGCCTGCTCCAGGAAGAGGAAGCTCCTGGAGGGGGTGTGAGCAGGGAAGGGAACGACCTGGAGTCTCATGGTAACTGTGGGTGGGGCCGGGTGGAAGGTGCAAGGAGACCCCTGGCAGGCAGTGGGGGTGTCAGGAGAGGGAGCAGCAGCTGCGGGATGAATGTGGGAGCCCACGGGTGTCTCTTGCTCCTCCCCTCTGGGCATCACACTGCCGGCGCTGGTCCTCTGCACTGCTTGGAAAACTCACCTGAGTTTAGAACATCGCTGTGAATGAGGTAGAACTTACAGACAACAAAATGTCTAATATGGGGGATTTCATTAATGCATATACCCGTGTTACCACTTTGTCCAGACCTGTGACGTCTGCCTTGCCCCAGATGGCGTCCTTCTGCCTCTGCAGCTCACCCTCATGCCCACCACTGGCAGACCCCATCTGGCCCTATAGACTCCTTTGTTGCCTGTCCTTGAGCTTCCCAGGAATGGAGTCCTGCAGAGCGAGCCTGGGTGTATCTTCCTCCTTTGCTCAGCGTGGCTTTCTAGAGGCCCCTGAGTTGTTTCATGGCCAGGACTGTGAGTTCTCCTTCTCCCCAGACTGAGAGGACCTGATCAGCAGGGTGTCCTGTGGGGTGACAAAGTCCCCAGCTCGGGATGCTGCGGGCCTGGGCTGGAAAGTGACTCCAGGAGTGGGGAGGGTGGAAGGAGGCTCTGAACAGACAGCTGTTCCCTTTGTTGTCTCAACCCCACCCTCCACGCCTGAAGGTGACCCTGTGGCAAATGTCCTTATGGCGAGGTGGCAGCTTGGCCAGAAACACCAGGAAACCCTGGGCCTTTGCAGGGCACCCAGAGGACTCTCCTGGAAGTGGTCGAGGTGAGGGTCGGCAAGGATCAGCCCAGACCTGCTGTGATCCTGGGGCTCGGCCATGGCTGGGGCTGGATCAGCAGGAACCCGGCAGTGGGAACAATATTACTCATGGGTGCTCACGTTCAGTGGTAGGACAGGGGACCTTGTTACTTGAGGTCTGTTGACCATCTCACCCCACTGCGAATCTAGCACCCTTAGAAAAGCCATGCAGCCCAGCAGATACAGCAGGAGGCCCAGGGATGGTGGTTACTGCTGGGTGAGGGAGGGATGGTCTTCAAACAGGGCTGCACATATGCCTCCTAGTTAGACAGGACATGGGGAGAGGTTCCCAGAGAGGGAAAGAGAGGGCAGCCCCTGGCCAGGTGCTTGTGAGCAGAATGGTCATCTCCCAAGTATGGGAGTTGGTTCTTCTCTGTGGCTCCCACCTTCCCTGACCACTGGGGCTCGAGTCTCAGGAGGATGTGTTGTGCAGAGGGTAAACTGAAATACACACAAATCCCCTGTCTTTTGTCATTAGAAAAGAGGTGCAGGTCACCCGGATAGCAGGAGCATGGTGGTAGGTGGGGTGTGAGGTGGGAGCTGGAGTGCTAGCCTATTTCCCTGTATGTGATGCCTCTGCCAGTGGTCATCCTCTGTCAGGATGTGCCCTGCAGGCACCTGCTGCAGGGAGGGTCAGCTGGCCTGATGCAGCGACCTCTCTAACCCTTGTAGGACAGACACCAGTGTAGGGTGCTCTCAGGAGCCGCAGGAGCCGTGTTCAGTATGCTGTAGTAGGAAGTGAAAGGTTACAGTAGCTGGGCAGCTGCTCCTGATATTTGGTGACCTTGAGCAAATGTTTTGCCTTCTCTGTGGTCATGTGTCTGAAGAGGTGGGCTGCCTTGTAAACTGTTGTGCCTGGGCGTCAGTGATGATGTTTAAACATGATTAAAAGTGACAGAGCAGCCTACAGCTTCAAAGACATGCTAGCAGAGACACAGAGAGAAACAATGGACCTAGGACTGAGCCTGGGGTATCCAGCACCCGTGTAACTTGGAGGAGTCCAGCTGCCAAGGAGGGGGCATGTTTCTCTTCTGCCAGGTGATGAAAGAGAAAACCATGTTCTCCCAGGCTGCCTTTTTGATTATTGATCCCATTATCTGAATTAGCACAGTGAGAAATTGGGTAAATGGCAGAAATTCTCTGTAATAAATAAGCAATAATAACAACACTAAACAATGCTATAATAAATAAATGACCAAACACATAAACAGCACCTAAAGGTGCTACTGGTTAAATCAAGTTGGCCAAGAGTTGAGATTCTGCACTTTGGGTTTTGAGCAATTAGCACTCAGTGTCTACAGTAGGAGCTTGGACTGAACAGCCACAGGATTTGGTCGCTTCTCAAAGCCGAAGCCCAGGAGCCTTCTTTATGGAGTGCCCGGAGTTCTCTGGGGTCAAGCCTGTCCCTTACACACACGCTCCCTCCTTGTCCCCTCTCTCTTCCCAACAATGGAGGACATGCGGATGCTTGCCTCTAGACTGTAGGCCAATGTTGGTAATGCATTTGGCTCCAATAGAGATGATGCCACATCATTAGGAAACTGATAGGCACGGGAAGCCTGCTGGCAGCCTTGCAGACAGAGATGAGAATGGGCAGAGCCCAGTGTCTGCGGTCTGTTTTGCACTTCATGGGGGGATGAGAATCCTTGGGACATTTCTGCTCAGGAGCCAGTGTGTAAACGGTGCTCATCGTTTTGGATTATAGGGTTAACATTTATTTTCTCAAGGAGTGCATTCACCAGAGCAGAGCCAGTGACTGAAGAACCGCATCTGAGTGGAAGGGAGAGAGAGAGGCCTCCAGGGACACAGGCTGCTAGCTGGTGCTGCCAGGGCTCCACCTGACTCCCTGTAGAGACCTGGCCAGAAAGAAAACAGATGGCTCTGAGCGGGTTGAGCAATCCCTTTGGCATCTCTGAGTGGTCAGTTTCCTTTCTAGATCCACCTTCTTGTAACCCTTCCCTCTTAGTGTTTCTGCAGCTTTGAATATCCGTTCCTTTAGCAGAGTTCCGTAACCTGGGAGAGTGATTCCTGTTCCTGCCCAGGATCCTGCTAAGCTGACTCACTGGGTGCTGGAGCTGGAGACCCAGGCCTCCTGCTGCATCTTGTCAGAATCCTGCTAAGTTAGTTCAGCCAGCACTCCCTTCCCTTGATGTCTGCTTAATAACTTTCTACATGCCAATATCACTCCTCCACACCATGTTCCTTGGCTGTAAATCCCACTTATTCTCGTTGTGTTCAGGGTTGAGCTCTATCTCTCCCTTACTGCAATAGTGTTGACCCCCACTGCGACAGT